AGTGGGTCGGAAAATTGGGAGGCTGTTCAAGAGGATTAGAAATGTGGTGGTGGTGAAATCAGGAGGGGCTCAAGGTAGTTATCTGAGAATGCTGGTTTCACATGATATTTCTGAACCTATTCTCAGGTGTGCTCATATTAAACTCGGTGATCAACGATTGGGTGTGACCTTCTTATATGAAAAATTGGTAAGCTGCTGTTATTATTGTGGGATTGTGGGTCACCTGGAGAGATCATGTGAGGTCCGGGCAAAGGATATTGAAGAAGGCAAGCAAATGGTAGGTCAATATGGCGAGTGGTTGAAAGCGATGGAAATTGGTAGAATGGGAGGGGCATCTCAGAACTCATCTCCTTCTCAGACTAATAGCAACTTGCACTCTCAAGGGCATCACTCTAACCCAGGGCAGCTGAACTCAACAAATGCAGAGCAGGGAATGGATAGATCCAATGGAGGGAGTCCTCAGCATGATCAACCCAATGACATTCTATCTACAGCTTTGGTGGTTAATTCTGAGATTAATACAGGTACCCTTCAACCTGTAATGCAAAGGGAAGATCATAACTTAAACCTATGGGTGCAATCAGAAGTTGAGGAGGTCAAGAGGATGGAAGTTCACCAGGAGATTGTTAAGGATGTGATGATTCCGGTTAGAGACCAAGAGTCTATAGTACCACAACCAGCAGGATTGGATCTGGTGATGAAACCTACCTCTTCAACCTGGAAGAGAAAGAAGTCTGAATCAGGTAGACTTCAGAGAACCATACAGAATCCAATAGAGGCTGCAACTCATGCCTTTGGGAAAAGAAACAGAATCTTACTAGCTCAGGATGTTGATCAGGAGGAAGATCATTCAAATTTGATGACAAAGAGGACCAGAAAGAATGAAGGAGTTCAATCTCAACAGGTGGGGGTAGCCAGCCTTGAATGGCCCCAAAGTGACAAATGAAGACAATCCTGTGGAACTGTAGAGGTCTGGGAGGACCCTCTACAGTTTCCCAGCTCAAGGATGCCATAAGGATCCACCTCCCAAATTTTGTTTTTTTATCTGAAACCAGGAGAAATAAATGTTTTACTGATACAGTTTGCAAGAAGCTGGGCTTTGCTGATAGAAGCTTTACAGTGGAACCGGTTGGGTTAAGTGGTGGGTTACTTCTGTTGTGGTGTAAGGATGTGATCATCTCTCAAATTATCAATCTTCAGTTCTGTCTTCAAGTAGAATACAAGCTACCCTCTTCAGATGCTTGTGAATGGCTTGTTCTGGTTTATGCTAGTACTGATCCTTTTGTGAGAAGTCTTCAATGGCAAGAGATTGAAAGCAGCCAACACAGGTGGGGGAACAAGTGGTGCATCGGGGGAGATTGGAATGAGATCTGTGAAGAGTCTGAGAAGAGAGGAGGGAGAGTTAGAGGACAGAGGAGTTTTGAGGGTTTCAATAATTTTATTGCAAGAATGGGTATGATGGAAGTGAAAATGGAAGGCTACCCTTTTACTTGGTGTAATAATAGAAGGGATGAGGAATTTATAGAAGAAAAGCTGGATAGGGTTTTTGGTTCATTCTCTTGGATGGCTGAGAATCAGAAGGCTAAAGTCCATTCTTATTTTAAGAGCTCATCTGACCACTCGATGATTGTTCTGGAGTCTGGCAATTCTAAATCTCTGTTCTTTAAACGTTTTTGTTTTGATAAAAGATGGTTAGTTAAGCCGGGCTGTAAAGAAGAAGTGGAGAAAGCTTGGAATGGGGCAGTTGAAGGATCTCTGATGTTTATTGTTAAGGAGAAGATCAGAAAGACTAGGATGGCTCTCCTCAGATGGAATAAATGCTTTAAATCTGATAATGTCAAAAAAATTGCTGATCTCTCCCTAAAACTTGAAGAGATGAGAGAGCTGGGTGGGCAGAGAAATTGGCATGAGTGGGAAAAGATCAAGAAGGAGCTGGATGAATCAAATTTAGCTGAGGAGGAGTTTTGGAGACAAAAAGCTAGAATTCAATGGCTTAAAGAGGGTGACAAAAATACTCGGTTCTTCCATGCCATTACTATGCACAGAAGGAAGAAAAATGCTATTTCCAGAGTTGTGGATATTCACAGCAGACCTGCAGTGGGGCAGAAGCAGATTGAGGAGTGTTTCATAAATTTCTACCAGCAACTCTTTACTACAGAAGGCTCTTGGGGTGAAGAAGAGATTCTACCCCTTATTCCCACTGTCATATCTGATGCAGACAACTTGAAGTTGGTGGCCCCTGTTGATGAACCGGAGATTAAAGCTGCTCTGTTCTCCATGAATCCAAATAAAGCGCCAGGAGAGGATGGTATGACCCCATTATTCTACCAGCATTTCTGGCCTCTCATTAAAGATGATGTATGTGCTGCTGTTTTTAAATTCTTTGAAACTGGTAGATTATCTAGAAGCTGGAATCATACTATCATTACTCTAATCCCTAAATGTGATAATCCTGAATCGGTTACTCAATTTAGACCGATTAGCTTGTGCTCTGTCTCCTATAAGATCATTGCTAAAGTGATTGCTTCCAGATTAAAAGAATGTCTGACACTCTGCATTAGTGCAACTCAATCTGCATTTATCTCTGAGAGGCAACTACTTGATAATGTGGTGATAGCACATGAAGTTATTCACTATCTGAATAGACTTAGGTCTGGGAATAAATGTTTTATGGCAGTTAAACTTGACATGATGAAGGCCTACGACCGAGTAGAATGGAATTGTTTGGCTAAGATAATGCTGAAAATGGGCTTCAACTCTATTTTTGTGCAATGGATTTTTGCTTGTGTATCTTCTTCTGTGTTCTCCTTCAATGTTAATGGAAATGTGACTGGTTTTGTTACTCCTACTCGTGGCATAAGACAAGGAGACCCGCTTTCTCCTTATTTGTTCCTTCTGGTCTCTGAGGTGTTCTCAAAGTTGATAGATCATGCTGTGACCAGAGGTGAATTGCAGGGTCTGAGTCTAGTCAGAGGTGGCACTATTCTGTCCCACCTTATGTTTGCAGATGATGCTCTTTTATTTTGCTCAGCTGATATTAAAAACTCTCAGAGCTTGCTTAGGATCTTGGCTTCTTATCAAAATTTCACAGGGCAGAAAGTCAATCTATCCAAATCTTCTGTGTTTTTCAGCAGAAATGCCACTGATAACCTGAAAGTTAATATATGTCAGTGTCTTCAGGGGATTGAGGTATGCTTTTCTTCCAGATATCTAGGCCTCCCTCTGGGCGTTGGTAAATCTAAAAAAGAGATGTTTGAGTTTGTTATTGCGGCAGTGAAAAAGAAAATTGTAAGCTGGAAGAACAGGTTTCTGTCTTTTGCTGGTAAAGAGGTTCTCTTGAATGCTGTTATCTCTGCCTTACCTATCTTTGTTATGTCCTGTTTTTGCTTACCTGTTGGAGTGTGTAAGGAAATAGCACAACTGTGTGCTGATTTTTGGTGGTCTTCTGGTAAGGATTATAAGAAAGGAATCCATTGGCTGTCCTGGCAAAAAGCTACTACTCCTAAGAGTGCTGGGGGATTAGGGTTCAAAGATTTCAGAGTTTTCAATGATTCTTTAATTTTGAAACAGATATGGAGGTTGCTGACTAAACCAAATTCTCTGATGACCATAATCTTGAAGGAGAAGTACTTTCCTGATGGATGTGTGTTGAATGCTAAATGCAAAACCTCTGCTTCTTGGCTTTGGAATTCTTGGGCTAGAGTGTTGAATGTTCATAAGGAAATGTTCAGAATACAGATTAAGGATGGGGTCTCTACAAAAATTTTGTCTGACCCTTGGGTTCTGGGGCTTAAATCTGGCATTCCTGATATAAATCCTAATGTTGACTGTCTGCAGGTGACTTGGGTGTGGGAACTTTTGTCTGATTCTGGGAGGACTTGGAATATTGATTTACTACAGCATCTTTTCACTAAGGATTCTTGCAAAGCTATTTTGGCTCTGAACAATCTCAACCCTGATGAGAGAGATAGATGGGTTTGGAGTCCTGATGTTAAAGGTAGATTCTCTGTTGCTTCTGCATATGCAGTGGGAATTGATCAGAAGGTATTAAAGCTGGATGCCCCAAGCTGCAGCTACACCCTGACTGTGGACAAGAAAGCTAGACTGAGATGCTGGTCTTTGAGGGTTAAGCCTAAACTGAGGCATTTTCTTTGGAAATGCTTTACTAATAATCTCCCAGTGTGCCTGAATTTGGTGAAAAGGAAGTTGGGGGTTGATGCTATCTGTAGATGCTGTGGGGATGCTTTGGAATCAGTTGAGCATGTACTGTTTGACTGCCACAGAGCCAAGAAGGTGTGGAAAGCCTCCCCTGTTACCTGGGACTTCTATGATGCTGCTACAACAGACTTCAGAGGATGGTGGTGGCAACTTTCTGAATTGAAGTTAACATCCATTGTTGAAGCCAGAATTCAGCTGTCAACTTACATATTGTGGTGGCTATGGAAGTCCCGGAATTTATGGGTTTTTCAAAACACTTGGGTGCCTGAAGAAACTGTGGCTAGACTTGCCCACAATGAATGGTCAGAGTTCTGTTGAATATTAGTTTGTAGCTAGGTTTAGTTTGTGTTGGTTTTGTTTTCTCTTTTCCCTTGGCTAGGTCCTTTTAGGTCAGTGGCTGGGAGTTTGTGTCTTTTCTGTGTATTTTCATGTTTCTTTGGTTTGTGTTTGGTTGTAGTGCCTTTGGGTTTCTTGACCTAGGTCTTGCCATGGGCACTTGTTTGTTTGTTTGGGCTAGGCCACCTTGTAGGAGTGGTTCTCTTGATAATTCTGTAAGGACTAGTATGTCCTCCGGTTGTAAACGGTTTTTATTGTTTTATGAGATATCTAATCGTTTGGAAAAAAAAAAAAAACAAATTCCATCAAAATCCAAGTGAAACCCCACTCAGTAACCGGGTCGGGTATTCGACACGTGTTAGCCGCAGCTCTTTGGACACTATCTCATTGTATTGTACCAACCACACGATATACACATTCAATTCATCCACTGAAATCACAGGACGATGTCGTATGTACCTCCTCACCTTAGAAATTCCTCATCCGCCGCCGCCACAGTAGCTAATGGTAACGGCGGTCACTTTGACTCGAAGCCGCTCAACAGTTCATATTCTCAGTTCAGTTCTGCTAGAAGCAACAATAACAACAGCAGCTCAACTAACTCGTGGAATGCCGGTGGCCGGAGCTCCGGGAACCACATTCCTCCTGTGCCTGACCCCGTATTTCCTCCATGGAAGCCGTCCGACCGAGTTGCTCGGCTCAAAGCGGAACAGGTGCGTCATCAGCTACGGCACCCTGTGTGTGCGTGCTCGTCTCTTTTTCTGACCTTGTTTTTGGCTGATGGTTTTTGCCGGCTCGATACAATTCGTGCAGATATTGTTTTATTTTTGAATTTAGACTCCAATGGTGTGAACTATGTTGTTCATGGATAACAGATGAATTAATTGAATAGGCGTTGCAATTCTTTTTGGATTAGATATTGAGAACTTAGTTTATCCTGGATTTGATGATTTTTCTTTTGAGTTAATGCGGAAAATGATGTGAAATTTTGCTTCTCTTTGTCTGATCTTACTATAGGAAACTAGTTTATCTGTACATCCGCTTCTATTACATTTTCATAAACATTTATTAGTAGCAATTGCTGCTTCTTAAGTCAATAGTTATTATATTATCTGGAGAAATTGATGAGCTCAGGTTTCTAAATATGGCCCAACTTCCCTATTATTTCTTTCTACCTCGAGACCATATTGGAGCAGTATGGACTTCAACGAGGAACGATCAATTTCTAATTTAAACTGTGTAATGATTCTGTATTTGTGAGGATATCAGATTATGTCGGTTAATCTATAATTTCGGTGAGGAACGATCAATTTCTAATTTAAACTGTGTAATGATTCTGTATTTGTGAGGATATCAGATTATGTCGGTTAATCTATAATTTTGGTCTTATGCGTACATTTGTACAGGTTCAAGAGGTTCGTTTGAGGCTTAATGTTGATGCTACAGTTCCACCAGATTCACAGCTAGCACCAGCACCTATTGAATCATTCACCGACATGGTAAGAATGGGTATATCTTGTGAATACCATATTCTGTTATCTACTTGTGGTCCGTGATTGGTTATTCCCGGGAAATGCTATATTTGTCGCTTACCATATCTCTTTGCAGAATTTGCATGCAAGCATCATGAACGATATTGCATTTCATGGATATACTACGCCTACTTCTATTCAGGCTCAGGCCCTGCCAGTTGCTCTTAGTGGAAGAGATCTTTTAGGCTGTGCAGAAACTGGCAGTGGTAAAACCGCTGCATTTTCTATACCAATGATACAGGTTCCATGTTTGATCCTGTGCTTCTTCTTATTTAACTTATTTTGTCGTTTATATGAACCTACTCTGTAGTAGTACGTAATCTATAATTACTATTATTTATTATTTATTTATTTTTGAACTCTTGATATGCAGCACTGCCTTGCCCAGCCTCCTATTCGACGTGGAGATGGACCTTTAGCATTAGTGTTGGCCCCAACTAGAGAGCTTGCTCAACAAATAGAGAAAGAAGTAAGTCATATAATTCTGAAGTTCTTTTCCTTGAGATTTGGAATTTACTTGAGTTTGGTTCATGTGGTTTCATATTGAATGTGGCATTTGATTGGAAATTCTAGAGTTCCAAATCATTCTCTTGGTTTGGTTCACTTATATTTTCTCCCGCCATTAGTTTAACATTCTTTTATATTGTGACTCAAGAATGTTGGAAAACAAAAGACGTATAGGCCGTGGTTGTATGATTATTAATTAGAGACTTTGAAATTCAAGTATAGTGCAAAACAAAAGATTTTTACTTAATTTCTCTCGTATTAGGGGAAAATTATGTTTTTCTACAATCATGTGGCGTGCAATTGGAACGTGAGATGAAAGAGTGAAATTTTTAGAAAAAGTGAGATAAATTTGAGATTGTTAATGGATACGAGATAAAAATGTAATGATTAAAGTTGATGTGATACAAAAATAATAAAATATTGATTTATGAGATTGGTGGTTAGAAATATCTGAGTGAATGGTATTGCTTTTTTTCTTTCTTTTTTTTTTCCCTGGGAAATATGTAACAATGATTACTTTTTAATTTATTAATTGTGTTATAATAATTGTGTTACTATAATTGTAGAGAAAAAGTGAGATAAAATAAATAGTACTTTATTGTGAAAATTATGTGTCTCATTTTCAGGTTCAATGAGATAATATTGGCTAGACAATAAAACCAAAAGTTTTTGGTATATACAATCAAACTATTGAAGTTTAAAATCGTGGAAATAAAACTAGGATCTTTGTGATTCCGGAATCTGTTAATTTTTGTTCCCTTATTTATACCAATTTAGTTTCTTGTAAATTGTATACAAGCCTGATATAATGGCTCCCATTTGATTGATACTCAGCATATGACTCATATTCTCCACTGAAACCATATTCGTTTTTCCTTTTCCTTTTTTCCCCCACAAGAATTACACATATTTTAGTAGATGAATGCTACTTGATTTGTTGTAAAAATGCTTGCCGACATTTGTCTTTAGCAGCAATTTGTTGACTGTTGTACTTGCAACTGAATCAGACGTAACTCGAGGAGTTGGTGATTGTAGGACTTGTTACTGTTTTTTCGTGTTACTTTGCACTCGATCATGTGCTGAGCCATCAGCTGTTCTCATTCTAGGTGAAGGCCTTCAGTAGATCTGTGGACTCATTCAGAACTGCAATTGTTGTCGGTGGAACTAACATTTCTGAGCAGGTCACGTTGATCCTTTTTAAATTTGTTGGTCAGATCCACACAACTTTGTTCTAAGTTTATTTACAAGGCCGGTGGCTATGTTTTGTTTGTTTCTCCTTGTTTATTTTTGTGTGTCAAAACAGAGGTTTGAGCTGCGAGCAGGGGTGGATATAGTGGTTGCTACTCCTGGAAGATTTATTGACCATCTACAACAAGGAAATACTTCCTTATCAAGGATATCATTCGTTGTTTTAGATGAAGCAGATAGGATGCTTGACATGGGATTTGAACCTCAGATAAGAGAGGTTCTCAATTATTGATATCATGCATTCAACTTATATTTCTTTTCGTTACATCCATGCAAGTTCCTTTAGTTTTTTTTTTTTTTTTGGTAATTATAAAATGTTTAATGTTCATGTTAATGGTTTAAATTGTTTTTGGGCCTGTGTCATTGTCTTATAATCATAACCATTATTGCCACTGCACTCAGTGTTGTAGTTCCTAATATTATTCTTCTTTTTTTATATTTACTATAGCATTTATCCGTTGGCTCGCCTTATTGCTGCCACCCTCTGTATGCGGGATTCTCCTATCACTGAGCTTTCTCACCTTCAAATTTGATTGTTCTGATGCTGAACATTCTCGTTTTTCTTGCACTGGATTTTCTTTTTTGTCGGCAATAATGTTCAATGAGTGCTGTGCTATCTTATTCTGTTGCAGGTGATGCAAAATCTTCCTAAGAAACATCAAACTTTGTTGTTCAGTGCTACTATGCCAGTGGAGATTGAAGAGTTGGCTCAGGTCAGATCTCTGTGGGGATAGTATCTCTCCCGGGGGTATTATGTTGATGTCAACATGTTAATATCTTGAGCATAGTATTCTAAGTTCCTATGTTTTGTCACTTACTTATCAAACGATAAAAGAAAAAATAGAAATGTTTACATAGATGTTTTTTTCAACTAAAAATATCTCCTTCCAATGGCTTGCTTATGTGAACAATTAGGAATACTTAACAAATCCAGTCCGGATAAAAGTTGGAAAAGTAAGCAGCCCCACGGCAAATGTGTCCCAAACTTTGGAGAAAGTAGCAGAAAATGAGAAGGTATGCTGATCTTTCTGTTCTGCTCTTGAAATAGCATACGCTGCTACCTTGATCTTGTTTTTTGTTCTGAGAATAATCTTCACCATCTTTCATGTTCTTTTCTTAAGCATGTCCCCACCCTTTTCAAAATGCTATTTTATGATTCCACTTCAGCTATGTTCCTTTTAATAATCTAATTTAGTGGGAATATTAGCAGTTAATCTGTTGGGATCTAGGAAGTTATGCTTTATGAAATGTTAAAATTAAGTGCACATAATTTTCAGCTAGAGGCTGAAATGGTGGATTGACATTTAATAACTGGAAATGGGAAGAATAATGATTGGAAATATCTAAGCCTGGTGGCTGCAAGTTGGTATTAAGGTTGATATATGTCTATGTATAAGGTGTTTGTAATCTTTATATTGTTTGATGGAATTTTATGTCTTGTTGTTGTTGGAGGGATTGTTTATATACACGCCCCCTATCTGGACTTGGAGATTGATAGAAAAACAGTTAGATAAATCGTTATGGATTATAGAAACCAAATTATCAGAAATATATGGGTGTGGTTGAACGCAATATGTTTTCTGTAATAGCATAGTTAACTGGTACTTGGTTTGGTTTCTTATGATTCCTTTCCTTGCCAACATCACGTTACTTCTTAAAGCTGTATTGGGTTTTGGGCTTCAAAAACAAAAATTGAATTGTTTCGGAAAAGTTTTAAGTTCCCAACATAACTTTTCTTAGGACTTGGGGTTGGGGTCAACTCTGCCTCATACCGGCTTGTAAGATTGTTCTCCCCAGCCCCCCACGTAGAACACCACTTTGGTTCCATCTCTAGTCTCTGGGAGCTCCAACATCTTTCATAGTGTCCAAAAATATGGAATTTTTAACCATACTTGGAACTATTGAAAGTTTCGTTTCAATATCGACGAGGAAGTTCATGAAGGACTTTCTGGAATATAACGTTAATAGCATTAGTAGCATGTATCTGTTCAACTGTTTGTTAAGATTTTAACAGATCTTATAAATGGACATGGAATCATGCATTTTAAGAATATATCTCATGTTTTGTTATGATATTTACTTTACACGAACATAGAATTTGGAAGCATCACATTTGGACAAAGCATATTACGATATGAACATTTGGAAGATTTCGGCTGACTATTCATGAAAGCTGACAGTTGTTTGTCGTATGAAGATTGACAGACTGCTAGATATGCTTGTCGAGGCGTCTGCTCATTCTGAAAGATGTGGCCACTCATTCCCCCTGACCATTGTATTTGTTGAAAGAAAGGTACAGCAGTAAATACCTCCTGCAACTAACATTATTTTTCTCTGTTTCACCATCCTTTTTTACCATCATGTTAATTGCCTCATAAACTCCAATTTTGGCTGTTGGTTTTATTTATGATTTAATTTCTCAGCAATCTTGCCTCGCATGCATACCTGGAACTATGCTTAATTGTTTTTAAGTCAAAACCAGGCCATTAATGTTCAACTGATTTACTTGATCTTGGAGTTACTGTACGTCTAGTGGGCCTATGCATTCATCTATACTTCCTGTGATCCTTACGTCTGAGATTACCTTAAGTGGATATAGTTCCTCTTCAAAACAGCACCGCCACTTCCCACCTATTTGTCTGCACTGTATGATCACAGTGTTGCCTGTTAATATGATTTCAGAGCAGATGTGATGAAGTTGCTGAAGCATTGGTTCAACAAGGTCTTCAAGCAGCTGCACTTCATGGTGGCCGTAGTCAAAGTGAGAGAGAGACTGCTCTCCGTGATTTCAGACAAGGTCCTACCAGGATACTTGTATGTCTATCACCTGTCTTTATGATATCTATTGCCTTTTATTTTTGCAATTTTTGCATCGTGTTTCATTCCTTGAGTTTGGGCACATCCAATATTGTTGTTTATAAAACCAGCTTACCTCCTTTGTGATAACTAGGGCAACGTCATTTTCTCCTTCACTCGATTAGTCTTTATAACTTGGTTGCAAATGGTGAGTTAGCAAGGTCATAATGAAAGACATGTCGTCATGCACTGAGAAAATGTGATATTGTTATGTTTTCTCAATCAAAGCTCCTATGTATGGTCTTTAGTCAAACTTATCTGGAGCACTCTTTAATTATTTATTTGAGATGGGGCAATCCAGAAAGCAAGCTTATTGGTGTCTAAGCAATGCCCAAGTGCTTCCTATGTATTTCCTTATCTGCAACCCGATGTTTTTCGGATTATGTGTCTTTGCACCTTGCTCTGTGTGTACAGAGAAGAATTCTTCGGATTCTACTAATTTTCACTAGATTTTGCCAACTCTTTTCGTTGTTTTAAGTTTTATATGAATGCTCGGTTTACAGGTTGCCACAGATGTTGCATCTCGGGGATTAGATGTTACTGGTGTTGCTCATGTCATCAATCTGGATCTTCCAAAGGTAAGTCTGGCCCCAGCTTGGCTGTTCAAGCTATTATTCACCCTTGCTAATGTGTTTTGCTTAGTTAGTAATTGCCATTTGGTTCCCAATCTTCTTTTATCTTTAAAATGCCAATTTCATCAACTAGCCTTATCTTTAAGAAGTAATCTTCGTATAGCTTTGTTTTTCAAGTGATTCACCAAGCACATTAAGCAAGCTGCCAGTGTTGAATTTGTTTCGGTCACAACTGATCTTCGTTTTGTCAACTGTTTAATGTATAAAAATTCAAAATTCGGGTGGATTCATAATTCCCTCTCTTTTTTTTTTTTTGGGCTGTGAAATTTAGACGATGGAAGATTACGTGCACCGGATTGGAAGGACTGGCCGAGCAGGATCAACAGGCCAGGCTACGTCATTCCACACTGATCGTGACATGGTATTTGCCATATAACCATCAATGTTCTGCCACTTGGATACTGCAACTATTTATTTTTCCGATCTTTCTTACCTCACATTTGGTTGCAGTATCTTGTAGCACAGATAAGGAGAGCAATTCAAGATGTAGACTCGGGGAATACTTTAACTTTTGCCACGGGAAAGGTAAAATTCTTCCAAAAATAAAAAATAAAACACTCCTTTATTTATTTTTTTATTTGTTTAATAAAACACTCCTTTATTAATCATTAAAATGAGAACAAAAATATATTCGAAAGATTGACTCATTTGTGTTCCCCATAAATCAGACCGCGAGAAGAAAGGAGAAAGAAGCTTTAGCAGCACACAGAGAAGCAAAGGTTGCACAATCAAAGCTCTCATTGGTGGGCTCGACTGCTTTAAACGTCGAGGAAAAGTATAGGCACATGATCGGCCCAGGTGCGAGTAGAAATGAAGGTGCTGCCGATGATGCTTGGGATGACTGATTAGAAAGTTTCCTTTCATCTTACCGTGAATCAACTCGTGATATTACACTCGGAAGCCACAAAAGCCGATGAGTTTTCGGTCAGACAGAAAATCCGCCACTTGTTAGTTCTCCCTTCATTTCCCGTGCTTTTGTGATTTGGATCAGACAATTGAAAAAATGAAAGAAAAAAAAAAAGGAAAAATAACGATGTTCTTGCTGTGGGACAAACTAGAGTGCGAAAAGTTATTGAGAGTTCATATTCGCGTACGTTGGACCCACTGTGTTCCTATGATTAGCAGCCGTACGAGTTTTGTGCATACGTCCTGTGAATGGTAAGTTTCATCATGCGCAGTTTTTCCAAATGATCGAAAACCACTAACAAACCAGATGGTAAGCGTAAAATGAGAACAACACATGGTACTCGACTACAAGGAGGTATTTAAACACCGTAATTTATCTTATTTTAACTAAGATGCCTTTACACGCACTCCCTTATGCCCAATCACAACTTGTCTCGATGGTATCCATACATTCACGGACACTCACTTGAGCGCATCTTTACGCGCCTCATCAGCTCCAACAAAGATGCTTGCTGTCATCTTTGAACTCACCTCCCTTTGCTTGTTGTCATCTTTGTTCTCACCTCCCCTTCAAATTTCAGCAATGTTAAATCATTTTTCCGGCCACCAATTTGAGCGCATAACGAGTTTTTCTTGTTCCATCTGAACCTTCAAAAGGCTCGGTTTCGGCACCCAAACACATCTTACATCTACGTTGTCCAAAAATGGAAAATGATGAGTGATATATTATTTTGTTTCTATTTTATATTATTTTGTTTTTCTTTTCATGAGCTAGAACGACAACTATCAGTTTGAAACATTGAGCTCATGTTCGTTGTTAAACTGAGCTATACATTTTCCCCTGATTTATTTGCATGTTTTTTTGGATCAAATTTTATTTTCTACAGAGTTTCTCTCTTTTTCCCCCAATTTTCCAATGAACTTAATTGTAAAATACATGCTCTATTAAAAAATTCAAATACAACTGCAACGGTTAACAAAATCTATCGAAGAAAATAATTTTTTATTTTACTATTTATCTCTTATTAAAAAAATAGAAATAGTTCGTAATGAACTTTTAAGAATTAAACTATATTTTTATTACACAATTTTGATTATTTTATTCTTAAAAAAAAAAAAAACAGTAGTATCGACTAATATCCTGAACCACCCAAGTAATATCGACTAATATCCCACAAAATTATCCACTAATACCCATAAAATATTCCCACAAAACAAACTACTAAACTAATCAGCCCCACGAACCTAACCACTTATTATTAACCATATTATTAACCATAATTGTCCCATGAAAACTAACCACTAAACTAATCACTAACCACATTCTACTAATTGTCCACCTAAGTAATTCCCACAAACTAACCACTAAACTAATCACTAACCACACTCTACTAATTGTCCACAAAGCTCTCATGAAACTAACACATGAGTAATTTCCACAAAACTAACCACTAAACTAATCACTAACCAGTAACCACAGTCTACTAATTGTGCACGAAGCTAACCACTTAAGTAATTCATCACATTATTATTAAAATATATATATATATATATATATATATATATATTTATTTATTGAATATCGACTAATATCCCACACAACCAACCAATCGACTAATATCCCAACCACTATTATTAAAATATAAGTATTTATTGAAATCATATTCATGAGTCTTGCCCTCGCTTTACTTATAGCATGCAATATCAAGATGAGTTCTCTCATCACTAATTTTAGATAATCAGTTCAAAATTTGTCAAGAGGTGTGAAACTCATTCATATTCCCAACTTGATCTCCAGAGTTTTACAAAGGCTCAATATATAGATACAAAGGAAAGCCTAAAAATCTACACCAAATCTCTAAGATATCAAATATTATCTCTACTAAAAATACAATATTCACAAAATCACATTAACACATTAACACCCCCCCTCAAGTTGGAGCATGCGGATTTCGAATGCCCAACTTGCCGAGAAAGGAATCAAACTCGCGTTTTCCCAAGGCCTTAGT